ACTTCCTCTACAAAAACCTCCAGTGTCTGATTATAGATGAGGCAGACAGAATCCTGGATATGGGCTTTGAGGAGGAGATGAAGCAGATTATTCAGCTGCTGCCTAGTAAGTTGCTCAGCATTGAGATCCTTTTTAGTTGTCTCAGCAAATCGTTCCTAGTAAGTTGCTCAGCATTGAGATCCTTTTTTAGTTGTCTCAGCAAATCCTTCCCAGTAAGTTGCTCAGCATTGAGATCCTTTTTTAGTTGTCTCAGCAAATCCTTCCTGGTAAGTTGCTCAGCATTGAGATCCTTTTTTAGTTGTCTCAGCAAATCCTTCCCAGTAAGTTGCTCAGCATTGAGATCCTTTTTAGTTGTCTCAGCAAATCCTTCCTATTAAGTTACCTCACTGTTCAGATTTTCCCCTGTAAGTTCTCAACATTCAGATCATCCCCACTAAGTTATCTCAACATTCAGATCCTCCCTAGTAAGTTGTCACAGCATTGGGATCCTTCCTGGTAAGTTGTCACAGTATTGCGATCCTTCCTGATAAGTTGCAACTTGTATTTCTGGTCAGTATAACTCTAGGGGTCATCCACAGCACTCAACTGTCATTTGCTGAATGTTGCCCTCATCAAAACTGGCAACTTGCCCTCACCACAGCCTCATATTAATTCTGGAGCAATTTTTTATCCAACTATTTGTGTTTGCAAATTTTAGATCAGGCTTTCACCCTTCTTGGAGTCATCTCCTAATGGATTATGGTGCCAAATGAAGTTGTGCCAAGCCTTTTGTATTCATGTTTTAGGCTCAAGTTTTCTATTAGATGGTTTTATTTATAGAAATTCCTATGTCATATGGCAAGCGATAAACACCCAGTGACACAAAAGTGCCACAGTTTGAATGAGAATCGCCCGAGAGCAAGTCCCAGAAATCCTGTTCAAACCGTAGGCTATATTTAGGTCCCCAGGTGACAAAAAAAAAATTATACAAAACTGCCTTCCATATTGCGACAGGGATGAATAAATACACCTTTACGACCTTAACGTGTCAAGGGTGTTATGTTAACTGTATGTAACATTACTGTTAATTATGTATGTGTCTGTATTTCACAAGTTATTTTAACCTCTGGTTTGCTAGTGGGCTGAATTACTTACTATGTCGTAAAATTATGTTTGTTTAAGAAGTTTCACCAGCATGAACAGTTTGAAAAGCTCTGCCCTGATGGCAAATGTTCATTTAATTTTTATTCATTTTATTACATGGCAGTGAAAGGGATGTATTCTAATAGACTTTCTCTTGTGTTTATTCCCCTTTTCACAGAAAAGCGACAGACCATGCTGTTTTCTGCCACACCAACACGGAAAACCGAGGATTTGGCCAGGATTTCTTTAAAAAAGGAGCCATTTTATGTGGGAGTTGATGACAAAAAGGATAAGGCAACAGTGGAAGGTTTAGAGCAGGTCAGTACAAATGTGATTCAGTGATTGTTCTTTTACTAAGGTGTAATAATAATAGACAGCAGAATAGTGATTTTGCATATACAGGCTTTGGATAATGTCCACGTTTAGCACTGGTAGCTCAGTGTTGACATGGCGCTGCCATTGCCACTGACCCTTTGATACGTCTGGTCGAGTTGGTGCTCACTATAAACTCTTTTGAGTTTAATGGCCACCATTTCAACATCAGCTGTGTCATTATGGGCACCACAATGTGACCTATCTATGCCTGCCTCTTCATGGGCTACCTCGATCATCAGATATGTCATGCATATACCAGTAGTCTCCCCGAGCTCTACAGGAGGTATATCGATGATTGTATCGGTATCACCGATATGCCTCTACCTGAACTGCATTTCATTTCTTTTATCCCAGACCCCATGCACTTCCAGCATTTCACCTTCGTCTGTACATTTTCTGGATCTCACTGTCACCGTGGTTTTTTTAATCTGTCCTTAACATTATCATTAGTATAAACACAAGTCACTTCCAGCCAGTATCAGTCAGCTGGCTAGTCTTATTTTGAAACAACTAAGTTGGGTAGAGTTAATTAACAACTGACATAGCACTCTGAACATTCCCATAAGCGCCCCATCATCATGTTCAGCATCAAATATTGTGTTCCTTTTCCGATGATACTAGTAGGAGTTTGTTTTCCTCTCACCTTTCCATTGAGTATTAGGCTTCAGCCAGATCCCCTGGACCTTCCCCACTGCACTATTCTGTTCAGGCAGTCATGATTGACTTGTGCCTCCACACGTTCACTTGCTGAAACTCAGTTAGAAATTAAACTAGGGGGATCTGCTGTTAGATATTACTTACTTACTTAGTCGCTCCTCTTCTACCTTGGGGTGTAGAGGTTTGCCAGAGAGATCGCCAGACGTCTCTATCAGCAGTTTTCTTTCTGGCTTTGTTCCATTCCAGTCCTCTGTCAGTTAGGAACTGTCGGATGTTGTCTTCCCAGCGCACCCTGGGTCGTCCCGGAGGTCTGGTTTCCTGGTTCTTAGCCTCCCATGCTTGCCATGGTGGCCGATTTTCTCCCATTCTGCATACATGTCCAAACCATCGTAACTGTGACTGATCTACTCGGGTTAGTAAGGGCTGGGTGTCAAGATCTTGACGTATTGTCTGATTGCGGACTTTGTCCCTTTTTGTCACTTGGACCACCTTTCTCAGGTATCTCATTTCCGAGGTCTGCAGCTGGATTCTGTGAGCTGTTGTTATTGCCCATGACTCACACCCATAGGTCAGGACTGGTACATAGGTAGAGCGGTAAACAGCCATTTTTGTCCTCTTGCCAATTCTCTCTTTTGCTAAGAAACCCTCGGTTTAATGCCTGGAAGAGTCTCCAGCAGCTGCTTTTCGTGTAGCCAGCTTCAGGTCTTAATGCCTCCATTTTGGGTCTAATACAACTCCAAGGTATTTGAACTGGTTAACCTGCTCCAACACATACTGTCCCATCATGATCTGGTGTTTCTTCTCCTCTCTTGAGATCACCATAGGTTTTAGTTTTTGGAGACACTGATGGTCATCCCTTTCTTTTCAAGCTCTTCCTTCCAGACAAGTAAGTTGGACTGAAGGGTGTGCCTCTGATTTAGCTATCACAGGGCCACATCCTCTGCAAAAGCCAGCTCTGATATACATATTGGTCTCATCTTCCAGTACCCAACAGAGTACTTCTTTGTCTTCTCCTTACAGGTCTTGATGACATCATCCATCATAAGAATGAAAGAGGTAAGGTGATTTTGGAGAATATCACCTTGTCTCACACACCGCTGGCAGTCTTGAATTCTTCTGACTTTTGGTCTGCCGTTCTGACATATTTCTGCACTTTTTGTAGAAACTCTGTATTGCACTGATCAGAGGTGCTGGGATGTTTTTCCCTGCCAGCAGTCCCAGAGCTTGTGTCCAGGGTACCTTGTCAAATGCCTTTTCCAGATCCAAAAAACATAAGTGCATCCCACTCTTATATTCCATTCTTTTCTCCTATTTGCTTCTTTCACCAAAGGTGTCCTGTTTCCCCGCCTTCCACGTGGAACTTCACCACATGCTTCTACTGAAGCTGCTGTGAGGATATTCTTGAATCTGCACCAGAGGGTTTCAGTGTCCTTTGATGATTCTTCTTCAGTTCCTATTGCTTTCACTATAAGCTCCTGGTATCTAGCCTTAATATCTGGCTCTCTTAGCTTGTATGCTTTAATCCTCATCCCTTCTTGGTTGCTTGGTTTCTTGCATGGTTGTCGGTGTTGCCTTGTTGGAGCAGTTCTTTCAGTTGTTCTCTTTATTGTGACCAGATAGTGGTCACTTCCAATCTCTGGTCCTCTCATGACTCTGGCATCTCTCACAAACTTGAATGAACTTTTCCTAACTATGGCGTAGTCAATGATGGATTTTTCATTCTTTGAAGGTTCACATCTTGTGTATGCATGTATACGCTTGTGGGGGAATTTTGTGTTTGTAATGACAAGGTTCTGTTCCCTGCAGAATCTGAGAAGTCGCTTGCCATTATCATTCAAAACATCTTCACCATATCTTCCGATCACTCCACCCCATCTAGAGTGATCATTTCCTACTCTGGCATTTAGATCTCCTAGGAGGATAATTTCATCGTGACAGTCATCTATGGTCCTTTGGAGCAGTTCAAAGAATTCTTCTTTAACATCTACCCGCTCATCTTCATTTGGCCCGTACACAATGACAAAATTGACAATTTTATCTTCTTCTTTCAGATCTAACACCATTATTCGCTCTGAGATGAATTTCCATCCCTTGATGTTACTAACTTGATTCCTGGCCACAATACAGCCAACACCTCCCTTGGCTCTCTCCGTCATAGGGACACCACTGTAGAGCAGCATACTTCCATCGTGGTCTGTGATTCCTTGCCCCTTTTTCTTGGTTTCAGTCAGAGCCAAGACTCCTAATTTTGCTTTCCTCATCTCCCCTACTAACTCGTTCTCCTTTCCGTTAATGCCTCTTATATTCCATGTTCCATAAATCGTAGTCCGTAAGCCATGCCAGTTCGTCGCCGTTAAGATCCGTCCGGTTTTCTCTCTGTAGTTACTTGTAATCGTGGTTTAAGGCAAACAGGTGATTGGCCTGTTGTGCCTTTGCATGGTGGAGGGGCTGCCTCCTTGCGGCCTCCATGCAGGCCGTCTGGCTGATTCACGGTTACCCACTACTTCCGGAGACGCATGAAGCACTCAGGTTCAGCCAGACCCTCCTCCTTTTACAGCCGGGCTTGGGACCGGTCTTAGCGGAGTTGCTGTTAGATATACTGTTCATTATTGTATAGAACCGTGGACAGAAGTAAATTAGTTTCAACAAGAAACAGAGTCTTTTGAGATGGATTATTTTGGGAAATAGGAGAAATCCCTTAGCAAGAAAAGAAAAGAAACAACTGAAGAAAATAAGTCAAAACATCTATTCATTTCTTTGTTTCCATTCAGCATTTGGCTGTTGTTTACCATTGATTTTGGTTATGTGGTGTCTTGAATAGATTAGCCATGCTCTTTGTTTGGCAGGGTTATGTTGTGTGTGAACCAGACAAGCGGTTTCTTCTGCTCTTCACATTCCTGAAGAAGAACAAGAAGAAGAAGATCATGGTGTTTCTATCCTCATGTATGGCGGTCCGGTTCTACAGCGAGCTGCTCAACTACATTGACCTCTCTGTTATGTGCATACATGTAAGTAAAAAAAAAATTATACATTATTGTTTTGAATGTGCATAGTTACTTGGCAGTTAGGCGTTTATGTTACTGTCTGTATGTTACTGACTGCATTCACCCCGTTCAAGGCGGTGTAGTACAAGGCTGTTTGGCCAGTGCAGTCAGTATCAGGTAAAAACATAGTAGATCTTACTGTGTTTTCTTGGTTAGTTTATGTTTGCTCTGTGTTGATTATCACCCCCGAGTGATGATAACATCACAGATTAACAATTGCTAAACGTGACAGTACCTGTGAGTTGATATTAACCTTTTGTCAGTACATTTTGTAAATGACGCTTTATGCGCCTTCAGACGTATTGGGCATCTAGGGCTAGACTAGTATTTTATAAACCAATCAGCACTTGGAGGGTGGTATGGTCAGCATCACATAGGCCGCCTTTACTTCCCAGGACTCCACCTGGTTCATATTCAAGGCAGGGTTGACCTGGGAGCCAAGGGCAATCTTGAAAAAAAAAAGCCTGGAACCGCCAGGACCCAAACCTACGACCTTCCAATCCGTGGGTGGGTGTCTAGCCACTACACCTTGGCGACCTCCCAGTAGATTTTATGTATTTATAATTATATATATTGTAACACAGTTAAGTCATTACTTGTTTGAAGGAAGTGGGTTATTAAGCAGAGTTATGGTGTACTGAAAATCAACAAGTTTTGGCAGCCTTGACATTCCCTTTTCCAGAATCTTCTTTTCTCGCCAAAACAAGCTATTGACATCAAACTGATGTTGTCTGGCCTTGGCCTTCTTTCTAGAAGTTTTGAAATGCATTCTTTTCATCATGTGACCCAACTTTGTCGTACTAGTGAATACCTTGTTGACGTGCCCTATCAAAGCAAACGCAATTGTCCTTGTTTTTCTAGAAGCTTCTATGACCTCAATTGTCAGTTTAACTACTATATCTGCGTAGAATAGAATGATGAAATCTGATGCAATCGAGATATAATTAGCAAATCCCATGTGAGAACGTACATAGTAAACAAGTTTAGACGTATTAGAATATTCTAGAAGCGGACAAAGCGAGAAGAAAACAAATACCTAGCATTCCAGCATCCAAGTATAAATAGCGAGCAACAAAGCACTTTAAAAATTCTTCACTCCACAAGACTCGAGAAAGAGGAGAGGCCAGTCACATGGGCTCCCAAGACAGCCTTCAGTGGTAGAGATGTAAGCCCAACACTAGAAGCCTTCAGTCTTTGAGACTCAGAGGACGAGCGACTAGCCTGAATGATCCGCGATGCCAGCTCAACACTGGAAGCAGTGGAACCAGTCACATATTGAACCTCAAAGACAGTCACTGGAGAGCAGACATGACACGAGACATCGAGCTACAGAGACGACACACAAGATACATGGATCCATGGAGAACAGAGACATATTAGGAACACTACAGAGATGTTAGAGTCGACGATCAAGCCGTTAGTACCAAACAGCACTAGAAGCCAGGTGGCAGTGGAGACACTAGAACCCGTTAACAAAGCAACTAGAGAACACAACGCGAACCTACGAGTATTTAGCCATAGAGATAACTTAGCGCTTTTCAGAATATCATTTGATGTTATTTGTGACATTGCTGAAGTATCACAATAAAGATAGTACAGACGAGAACAGTTGTTTCCAGACATTTTGTTATACAAGCATCAGAGTCACGTGAGAAGCATGCAGCTAGGAAGACATCATCACCATCATAACCACTATCGACACGACCATCTTTTTCCTCGTCTATAATCTTCCAATGGACTCCTCCTGTAGCAAACCTAAAGACGAACCTGGGTGTGACAAGAACATACGCAACGAAGAAGAGAGCAGTGCTACAATATATATTTACAATATGTTTAATATTAACATTGCTAATAATTTTTACCTCAACTAGTAAGCTTCATAAATCAAGACTTCCTTACCAAGCCCTCATCTGGACACCACAGGGGAAAAGATCTCGTGGAAGACCAAGGGAAACCCTACGTAGAACTATCATCAGGGAAGGCTCGCTCATGGGCCACTCAAACATCCAAGACCTACAACGGATTGCAACGGACCACCGTGCATGGAGAGTCATGACCTCTGCCCTATGTGCCGCACTTGACACAAGAGGAAAGACTAACTAACTAACTAACTAGTAAGCTTCAGCGTAAGCACCCATGTGTTTTGCCAGTTGGTTATAGACAAATGTTATCAGTAGATTTTCCATTGACACATCAGTCATGGACTCTCATGGTCCCACAAGCCACTGCCATCCAGAAGTGTGTGACTCAATGACATGTCTCATACTGATTCCCCAGGGCAAGCAGAAACAGACAAAGAGAACACAGACATTCTTCCAGTTCTGCAACGCTGACAGCGGCATCCTGCTATGTACGGATGTGGCTGCTCGAGGCCTGGACATCCCTCAGGTGGATTGGATTATCCAGTATGATCCTCCAGACGATCCCAAGGTGAGTTGCTTGTTGTTGGCTGCTTTTGTTTCACAACATTGAATTGTATAGGAGATGGAAACTAATTATCTCAGAAGGTTGTACCAAGTCTGTGTTTCAAAGTAATGTGAATGAAAAGAAACTTGATAGTTAGGCTTTCATGACTTATAATGTGGCACAGTGTTCTCAGTCACAGGCACGAGAGTAGGTTAAGGCCATTGTGTTTTGTATAAGGAGTTACTCTGTACCTCGCGTGGGGTGGCAGCTGGCTCTGCAACTAACTGTTGATAGTAGTCAGTCACAGTAAGTTGGCCATACACACAACATTATTACATAATGTATTTCACCTTATGTTTATCTCATATGGGTTCTAGGACTTTTTTTTCTGGGGAGAGAAAATGAAGAAAATATACCTATTGTTGCACAACAAGCATTTTGTAAAAGGCGACTGAATAAGGATTTGCTGAAAGGTAATTACACATATCACAACATAATTGTAAACTACAACAAAGTTTTAAAGGCAAATTAAGAATAAGAAGAATCTTTTGGAGTGGGTATCATAATTAATTACAGTATCAGTGTCCCTGTTAAAGATATTAGATACAGAAACATTGTTGTTGCAGGAATACATCCACAGAGTTGGCAGAACAGCTAGAGGAGAGGGTGCACACGGCAATGCTTTGCTTTTCTTGAACCCTCAGGAATTGGCTTTCTTGAGGTTCCTGCGACAGGCGAAAGTTCAGGTCAACGAGTTCCAGTTTCAGTGGAGCAAGGTGGCCAACATACAGCCACAGGTCAGTACCTTTTTGTATTTTTCCTGTTGAACAAAATAATGACAATGAAAGTCAAGAGGATTGATTTCATTGCATCAGGTTTTTCTTTTCTTGGGATCCATTAATTTATTAATATAATTTTCTTCTCTGTATTTCTTTTTTTCTATCTGCTCATCCTGCAGCGTAGTATATCCATTTACAACATGGCTGCGATATTTGCTGTTTTGGCGACACATCTGATTCCTCCAGTATTTGTTGCCTGGGTTAGTTTTGTGGAACATTGGAGTCTTATTGTTGTATGGTCATCTTGGTTTCCTAGTCTGTAGGTGGTGCCACCCCGGCAGACCGGTCCGTATCAGCCGCATCATATTGGTCAGTCCTGGGAGAAGGAATGAGCAGAAAATGATCATTCTCCACCATCCAATAAGGCTTCCATAAATGCAGAGCCAATACATGGTACTCTGTTACAGGGCTCACCAAAGGAATCATGACATCCTCTGACTGCTTAACTTTGCTTCCAAATGTGAATCCTCTCATTCATCACGGGCTGTGCCTTTAGAAGTCTGCAGGGCGCACTGCAGACCTGAGATTTTGACATACAATGAGTGCTTTGCTTTTTATGCATGTTAGACTTTTTTTTGCTGTGGATATATGTGTCCGTATAGTTTCAACTGTTTGTGTGTTGTTGATTATTCCCCTTCATATTTTTTTTACCTGGATTTTAAAAAGTCTGCCTTTTTAAGTGACGTGGGTGTCACAATGTTGCAGTGTCTAGAATGCTTGCCTGTCCACTCAATGTTCATATAGTTGAAACATATTTTCCTTAAGAATTGATATACATAAATGCTCAGCTTCAGTTGTTACATTATTGGTCCATTCTACAGCTGGAGAAGTTGATCAGCAAGAACTATTACCTGCACAAGACAGCGCAGGAAGGCTTCAAAGCTTATGTTCGGGCGTACGCTTCCCACAAACAGAAGGCTATCTTTGATGTGACCAAACTGGACGTGACCAAGGTGGCAAAATCTTTTGGGTTTGCTGTTGCCCCATATGTGGATTTACGTATCCTTTTATTGATATCAGTATAATTTTATGTGGTGGTTATTGATGAAAAACTCACGCCTATTTATAGGTTTCCATTTTTTAGAAAAGTTCCTTTTCCACACCTTTAGGTGTATTGGGGATATAGGACTAGACCTATATTTCTGTAGACCAATCAACGCTTGTTGACTGATGTAGTCAGCATCACGCTGGCCGCCTTTACTTCCCAGAACTGCACCTGGTACCAACTCAAGGCTGGGTCAACCTGGGGGTCAAGGTCATTTAAAAAAAATCTGGCTCCGCCAGGACGCGAACTAACAACAACCTTCCAATCCACAGGTGGGCGTCTAGCCGCCAATAACATGGCGACTCCCAGGTTTCCATGTAGTGTGTAAATTCAAGAAAGGCAGAAGAGAAATCTGGACAACCACTGGTATCAACAGTTTTGTCTGGACAACCACTGGTATCAACAGTTTTGTCTAGACAACCATTGGTATCAACAGTGTTGTCTAGACAACCACTGGTACCAACAGTTTTGTCTGGACAACCACTGGTACCAACAGTTTTGTCTGGACAACCACTGGTATCAGCTGTTTTGTCTAGACAACCACTGGTACCAACAGTTTTGTCTAGACAACCACTGGTATCAACAGTTTTGTCTGGACAATCACTAGTATCAACAGTTTTGTCTAGACAACCACTGGTACCAACAGTTTTGTCTGGACAATCACTAGTATTAACAGTTTTGTCTAGACAACCACTGGTATCAGCAGTTTTGTCTGGACAACCACTGGTACCAACAGTTTTGTCTAGACAACCACTGGTATCAACAGTTTTGTCTGGACAACCACTGGTATCAACAGTTTTGTCTGGACAACCACTGGTATCAGCTGTTTTTAGACAAAGAAGATATTGAGGAAACATGGACAAAAAGCCATTAAACAGGTACAAATATGGGTCTAAAACACCCATTGAAAGGTTCACATTTAGTGTATGTATGTAAATTCAAGCAAGGCAGTGAAATAATATAAAAGTCCTGACTATTGCTTGTATCAGCAGTTTAAAGACAAAGAAGACAGCAATATAGAGCACAACTCAAGGAGAAGTGAACAGAATCACCAGCCATCACGGGTATGGGAGATATATTGATTGAAGAAACAGGGACATCCAAAAGAAACCAATAAGATGGAAGTAGATGAGAAGGGCCGAAGGTTATGGACTAGACTCCATCCATGATATTGTAAGGATTGCATAGGATCAAATGGAATAGAGGAATAAACTGGAGCCCTATTTGACATAACTTTATCAGTGGCTATCTCATCCCTTTGTAAACCATACTTTTCTGGCTATATTATCCCTTAGTAAACTTTTACCTGTAGCTTTCTCATCTCTTAGTAGTAAACTTTTACCTGTAGCTTTCTCATCTCTTACTAGTAAACTTTTACAGGAATGTTTATGGGGGAAAAGAGAATCAGCAATCATCTCATTAATATTTGCAAAAGCCTGTACACACGTAGTAAATGCTGCATAAGATCGAAGGCAGGATTGTCAAGAACTTTTATAGTGAACTCTAGTGTGCGTCAGGGCTGTGTATTATCGCCACTTTTTTTTAAATAACATACATGGATACTATATGTAAGGAAACAAACTTTAACCAGGAAGTAGATATTATAGAATTACTATTTGCCGACTCATAGCAGAAAGTACGGAAAGCCTACACAACAACATAAATCAAGCCAATAACAAGGGGAAGGGGGGGGGATATAATATGAGAATAGACACTACAAAGACGGACACAATGGTGACAGAAAGACAGTTAAGAAATAAAATTTAAAAACGCCTTAAGAGAAACAGGAATTCAAATACTTGGAAACAATTTTCACATCTGATGGAAAACTGGACAGAAAAATTAGCTTGAGATGTGCCAAAGCTAATCAAGTAATGGGGCAACAATCTACACTGTTGACCCACACAGCAGATACCCTGGAGTACTAAAGTGAATCTTTTTAGAACTATTTTTTTGGCCAACACTGCTATCAGTACCAAATGTGGACAAAAATGCCCTGGTACTATCCAGCACAGCGAGCCACACTGAAACATTACAATGGGTATAGAGCGAGCGGAAGACCTCAGAAAAGATGAAGTATAGCATTAAAAACAGCCTTACAGAAATGAACATGTTAATAGTGCCGTGACAGAGCTTATCATCTCCCCCCTACACTTCTCTGAGGTACAAGGTGAAAAAAAAAGAAGTAGTTAACTGTATTTTGCTGTCTTATCTTGTGGTAAACCATACATGTGTGGCTATCTTCTCCCTTAGTAAACTTTACCTGCGGCTTTCTCATCATTTAGTAGTAAACTTTATATGTGGCTGTCTCATCCTGTAGTAAACTTTATCTGGCTTTCTCATCCCATAGTTGTAAACTTTATATGTGGCTGTCTCATCCATTAGTAAACTTTATCTGGCTTTCTCATCCCATAGTTGTAAACTTTATATGTGGCTGTCTCATCCTGTAGTAAACTTTATCTGGCTTTCTCATCCCATAGTTGTAAACTTTATACGTGGCTGTCTTATCCTGTAGTAAACTTTATCTGGCTTTCTCATCCCATATTTGTAAACTTTATATGTGGCTGTCTCATCCATTAGTAAACTTTATCTGGCTTTCTCATCCCATAGTTGTAAACTTTATACGTGGCTGTCTCATCCTGTAGTAAACTTTATCTGGCTTTCTCATCCCATATTTGTAAACTTTATATGTGGCTGTCTCATCCATTAGTAAACTTTATCTGGCTTTCTCATCCCATATTTGTAAACTTTATATGTGGCTGTCTCATCCTGTAGTAAACTTTATCTGGCTTTCTCATCCCATATTTGTAAACTTTATATGTGGTTGTCTCATCCTGTAGTAAACTTTATCTGGCTTTCTCATCCCATAGTAGTAAACTTTATATGTGGCTGTCTCATCCTGTAGTAAACTTTATATGTGGCTGTCTCATCCATTAGTAAACTTTATATGTGGCTGTCTCATCCATTAGTAAACTTTATCTGTCAAATCAAACATAATAAGGACCTGGCATGAGATGAACCAAAGCTATATCGTATACTTATAGCCCATATGTGATATATAATATCACCCACATTTTGGTGAAGGGGGAGTAACTGACCCACTGCTAACATACTTGCTGTAAAATCTGGCTTCTAAATGAGTTGCTGATAACAGATAAGCATGTCATAGGAGGCAACTAATTGCCCCCCCCCCTCTCCCCCTTCAAAGTTGGATTGCATATGCCTGAGAGGTAAGAAACCCGCAGTCTGCATACAGAAATGCCAGATCTGTAAAAAGGATGTGCACCTAAGACTGAAGTTCTGGGATGTACCAACGTCTGGGAGTTGACAAATAACCAGAACTTTCTGCCAGAGTTTACAGCCGGTGAATAGTAAGAACAACATTTATTGTATAGAACAGTACTGCTTAGTGAGGAGAGCAGAGATATATAGACAGTGATGCCATATTGTCTGTTGTGTGTGCTTGCTTCCTTAACTGTGACACAGAAGTCTACAGCAGCAAAGGCCCGCAGGCTCGTCCTGGTCGATACAATCAGGCAGGAACTGGATACAAGAATAACAAACAGATGAAAAAGTCCAGAATCTTCAAAAATGTCAAGTCCAGATGATGATGATGTTTCAGAAAATGAGCTCAGTTGATAAAGATGATAAATACACGTTTGAATCTGCTTACTGTGTATCTGGCTTATTTCATTGCTGAGTTTAGCTTGTTGTTAGTGATAAGTAAAAATAATTAGTTCTTCTTATCAGAAATTCGTGTTATGCAGATAACAGTTCAAGTAAGAAAATTGCAGGGAATAAACAGGTTGTTCTTCCCAATAGAAATTCACCACACTTGAGATCACCTCAAGCGGTCTGCACTATTACTCTGAGAGCAGCCGTAGTGTAGTGGCTAGAGATGCTTGCCTGCTGATCGGAAGGTCTTGGCCTAGGGTAAAAAGGAGCAGGATTTAAACAAACAGACCTTGGTTTTCAGGTCAACCTAGCCTCAAGTGGGTATCAGCCATGCAATACTGGCCGCATCATCCATCAAGTGCCGATTGGTCTATCAAATAAAGGTCTAGCCCGATATGCCTGGAGGTGTGAAAGAGAGTCCTTTACTTCTACTGTATTTCTCTGGAACATTTGGGTTCTGTTATATTTATGTGCCTGTGTCTGGGTGTGATATTTCTCTGGGTGTGATATTGCTCTGTGTCTGGGTGTGATATTGCTCTGTGTCTGGGTGTGATATTGCTGTGTCTGGGTGTGATATTGCTCTGTGTCTGGGTGTGATATTGCTATGTCTGGGTGTGACATTGCTCTGTGTCTGGGTGTGATATTGCTATGTCTGGGTGTGATATTGCTCTGTGTCTGGGTGTGATATTGCTCTGTGTCTGGGTGTGATATTGCTATGTCTGGGTGTGATATTGCTCTGTGTCTGGGTGTGATATTGCTCTGTGTCTGGGTGTGATATTGCTATGTCTGGGTGTGATATTGCTCTGTGTCTGGGTGTGATATTGCTCTGTGTCTGGGTGTGATATTGCTCTGTGTCTGGGTGTGATATTGCTATGTCTGGGTGTGATATTGCTATGTCTGGGTGTGACATTGCTCTGTGTCTGGGTGTGATATTGCTATGTCTGGGTTTGATATTGCTCTGTGTCTGGGTGTGACATTGCTCTGTGTCTGGGTGTGATATTGCTCTGTGTCTGGGTGTGATATTGATCTGGGTGTTGCTCTGTGTCTGGGTGTGATATTGCTCTGTGTCTGGGTGTGATATTGCTCTGTGTCTGGGTGTGATATTGCTCTGTGTCTGGGTGTGATATTGCTCTGTGTCTGGGTGTGATATTGCTGTGTCTGGGTGTGATATTGCTCTGTGTCTGGGTGTGATATTGCTGTGTCTGGGTGTGATATTGCTCTGTGTCTGGGTGTGATATTGCTCTGTGTCTGGGTGTGATATTGCTCTGTGTCTGGGTGTGATATTGCTCTGTGTCTGGGTGTGATATTGCTCTGTGTCTGGGTGTGATATTGCTCTGTGTCTGGGTGTGATATTGCTCTGTGTCTGGGTGTGATATTGCTCTGTGTCTGGGTGTGATATTGCTCTGTGTCTGGGTGTGATATTGCTCTGTGTCTGGGTGTGATATTGCTCTGTGTCTGGGTGTGATATTGCTCTGTGTCTGGGTGTGATATTGCTCTGTGTCTGGGTGTGATATTGCTCTGTGTCTGGGTGTGATATTGCTGTGTCTGGGTGTGATATTGCTCTGTGTCTGGGTGTGATATTGCTGTGTCTGGGTGTGATATTGCTGTGTCTGGGTGTGATATTGCTCTGTGTCTGGGTGTGACATTGCTGTGTCCGGGTGTGATATTGCTCTGTGTCTGGGTGTGATATTGCATCTTCTCTTGTGTTTGTTCTTACAAGGGTGAGTGGCATGTTGTGCTGGGCTTAACTATGCTGAACAGTTAGAGAACAGCTGATACAGAGTCAATCTTCCAAAAGTTAGTCACTTGCTTGTGGCATGCTAATTGAGGGGTATTGAATTAATTCTTTTCCCCCATTCTGTAAAAGAGCCTCCCCCACCCAAGAGAAGTGTTGCATCTGACAGTGTGTTATTTTTTGACAGCAACATGTTAGCATGGAACTTCAACAACATCTGACAGTGTGTGTCATTATTTGACAGCAACATGTTAGCATGGAAATTCAACATCTGACAGTGTGTCATTATTTGACAGCAACATGTTAGCATGCAACTTCAACATCTGACAGTGTGTGTCATTGTTTGACAGCAACATGTTAGCATGCAACTTCAACATCTGACAGTGTGTGTCATTGTTTGACAGCAACATGTTAGCATGGAACTTCAACACCTGACAGTGTGTCATTGTTTGACAGCAACATGTTAGCATGGAACGTCAACATCTGACAGTGTGTCATTGTTTGACAGCACCATGTTAGCATGGAACGTCAAGTCAATTGAACAGCCAATGTGGAACTTTCAATATAATTATTGCACACTGCTAAAAAAGATAAATCTATTTAGAGGATAAGAAAACAGACTGGCTCCCAGTCAAGACTGGCTAAGTAATAAAATTGAGAAATATTAACTATTCTGAGAATTTTTTTTTTTTTTTTAGGTATAATGGTCTTTAAACGAGCATCATAGAGGAAGTATACTTTAGAGGTGAAGAAGAGGATGACCATGACATAGATGGTGTAGTGGTCTGATAAATGGTTTATAGACGGCAGCAACAGGCACGTCATCCGATTTCACAGATCTGTAAGAGGAGTATGATTCTTCAGCAGGCATGTCAAACTGAGGGTTCCCTATACGCCAAATGTTCCACACATGTGTGTCAGCAGTGTGTGTAGTGTCATCAGGAGGGCCCCACATGGCAACTAATTGAAGTCATGTTTTACATGCCAGCTGTACTGGCTGATAAATATGGAGTTGATGTAGGTCTCTTATTGTGGGCACCTTTCAGTCTCTCCAGATAATATTTTTTCTGTGCTGTAAGGAGGCATAGGGAAACACATCCTATCTTGATGCCAGGGATAGTTCCTCTTTTCCATCACACAAAGATTGGTATTGCAGAGACCATGTTTGTCCTTGTAGCATGATCTCTGCACTTCAAAACGTCAAAATGTTTGCAACACAGCTGCTGGATAAGAAAAGCTTTGCTGTCTTTAGCTCTGTACTGTGTGGCAAGCTCCAAACTCCAGCGGCTGTAGTAGAGTTTAGGGCAGCCATTTCTCACTTGACAGTGGACAAGCTTACTTTGTGAAGAATTTCTGTCATCACTGACAGTTACCAGTGTGTCGCTGTGGTAGCGGCTAGATGCTTGTGTGCGGATCGAAAGGTCATAGGTTCGCTCCCTGGCGATGCCGGACTTGTTTTAGATATGACCTTGACCACCAGGTGGACCCAGCCTTCAGTGGGTACCAGGTGCAGTGCCGGGAAGTAAAGATGTCCAGCGTAATGCTGACCACATCACCCATCTTGCACTGATTGGTCTATTAAAATATAGGTCTAGCCCTATACGCCTAAAAGCATGGAGAAGGGATCTTTCCTTACTAACAGTTATCTGTATATGGGCCTCACCAGTCTCCCATAGATACACAACTGAAGTCTCAGCCCAGTACCACAGACCTGATAACACTGACAAGTATAGAAGGGATCTTTCCTTACTAACAGTTACCTGTATATGGGCCTCACCAGTCTCCCATAGATACACAACTGAAGTCTCAGCCCAGTACCACAGACCTGATAACACTGACAAGTATCTAGTTTTTATACATCAAAACACATACTACATTCTTTTCTCGAGGTTGAATTTCTGATTTGAGAATAAGCTTGGCTGATTTTTTTTCTTTCTGTCATACCCTATAAGTTTGCATATGTTGTGTCAGACACTGTAGATTTGCTAGTGTTAAGTCAGACCCTGTAGATTTGCAAGAGTTGAGTCAGACCCTGTAGATTTGCAAGTGTTGAGTCAGACCTTGTAGATTTGCAAGTGTTGAGTCAGACCCTGTAGATTTGCAAGTGTTGAGTCAGACCCTGTAGATTTGCAAGAGTCGAGTCAGACCCTGTAGATTTGCAAGTGTTGAGTCAGACACTGTAGAGTTGCAGGTGTTTGAGTCAGACACTGTAGATTTGCACTTGTTGAGTCAGACCCTGTAGATTTGCACGTGTTGAGTCAGACTATATATTTGCAAGTGTTGAGTCAGACCGTGTAGATTTGCAAGTGTTGAGTCAGACCGTATATATTTGCAAGTGTTTAGTCAGACCCTGTAGATTTGCACGTGTTGAGTCAGACCCTGTAGATTTGCACGTGTTGAGTCAGACCCTGTAGATTTGCACATGTAGAGTCAGACCGTATATATTTGCAGGTGTTGATTCCTAGTGTTTCTTATTTAAATGGATTAACATTGGTTCCGCTACTGCAGGTTTTGAGGAAAGATGCATCATTTTCCCTAGGTTGGGAATGTCCCTACGATCCACGCAGACAATTGCTACAGTTCTTCTTTGGTTAGACTCTCTTGTCACACCTTTGCACCACATCAACCCCAGTGACACGTCCCACTATCTAATAATGCAAATGCTCAGAGGTGAAATTGAAAAAAGTGATACAAGTACAGTTTTCTTCTTCATTTTCTCCTTTTGTGTGTCAGATGTTGATGGAGATAGGTTTGGCCTTTTGCTCATCTACTGCCTATTCGTCCTCTTCCATTTTCTTTTCCCCTATTCTCGCCTACTTCTTTTTCCTTCATGCTGCTAGCACATCACACTGTGACTGACGGTGCTGTTTCTTACTCGATCTAAGGTGAAGTTAGCGGTTTTCCTGGGATATCTCGTCTCACAAGGGGTCTTGTCTCACAAGGGGTCTTGTCTCACAAGGGGTCTTGTCTCACAAAGGGATCTCGGTAGAATGAAGTCGTTTGCCTCGTGTTTTTTTATTTTCATGGGTTCCTCACACGGACAGTGTCGTTTTATTTACGAGTACAGTCTTTACGGAAATCTTTGTGGGTAGATATATATATTGTGTTCATCAAGTTCTCAGGGTACACATCTATTTTATATACTGTGTAACAATTTATATGAGACCAAAATATAAATCAACACATAAAAGAATTAAAGAAGTGTAGCTAACATCCCTATCATCATGTGCCTTGCTGACTGACGGAGGCGATTATGCTTCTCCACAATCTGCAACTGTGTGTATTAGTTCGTGTGTTGACACCTCTCGGTGCCATCATAAAAGACTTTCAAGAAGCTTCCTGCTGTCTTTCAACGTCTCCCTTGCCAGATCTTTCGAATTGTCACAGCATGTTGTAGTTTCCCTCCTCTCATTACATGACCACAAAATTATGTTTCTTTCTGATGTTTTTGATACGTTGTCTTTGAGCACCTGCCTTTTTTTTTTTAAACATCTGGGTTGCTTCTCCTATCTCTCCAAGCAGTTCTAAGTATTCTTCTGTAAAACCACATCTCTGAGGCCCCCAGATGTTGTTCCGCTTGTTTATGAATTGCCTAGGATTCACAGCCGTATGTTTAAACTTGTTCCATATCGCATGTGCAAATTCTTTTTCTTACTCCCAATGCCAAGGATTTACTGCACAAAATTCTCTTCATTTTCTAAAAGGCACTTTTATCCTGTACTATTCTGTTCTTTGTATCTGTGATACATCTTCCCGCGTATGTTATTTATGTGCCTAGATACCTAAATTTTTGTACTTGTCGTGTCCTACAATATCATCTTTGAGTTTATTGTACACGTAGGCACTACTGCTCTCTTGTAGATCATTTGTCTCCCAATTATTCCAACGGGCCCATTTTTCGCTTTCTACCACCACTGTATCTATCAATTCCTGTATTTCTTTCTGACTTGTCAAGACGGTGTCGTCAGCGTAACGTAGGCTGTTTATGTTATGATCACCAACCACAATTCCTGATATGTCTCAATTCTTATATTTACTGCCTAATGAAAACAAATCAAGTGATAATACACGACCTTGTCATACTCTACATATTATATTTATTAATTAGTTAGTTAGTTAGTTATTCCTCTTGTGCCAAAGATGGCGCATAGGGCAGAGGTCATAGCTTTCCACGTCTGTCGGTTCTTTGCCTAGGTCTTGAGTGCGACTGAGACCTATGGTTGAGCTCTCCCTTGTGATGGTTCTACGGAGAGTTTCTTTTGGTCTTCCCTGTTTTCTTTTACCCTCTGGTGACCATATGAAGGCTTGGTGGGGAAGTCTCTGTATGTCCATTCTGAGTACGTGACCGATGTAATTCCAGCGACGCTTTCTAATAAAATCAGACACATATTTTTGTTTTGTTTCCTGTCTTATAGATGTATTGGACCTAAAGTCCGACCAGTGATCATTCAATAGCTTATTTATTAATATTTAATTAATTATTTTTATTTTAATTAATTAATTTAATTATTAATATTTATTAATAACAAGATTAATTTCCCAAATTGGTTTTATGGAGAGGATAGCGCGAACGCTGATCCCCCTTACGAAAAAATTACGCACTCGAGTCACCCACATTTGGGGTGATCGCAGGCGTCAACCCAACCGGAGTGCAATGGAAGGGCCTCAACCTGGGAGCACCGCCTTTTTTTTTTTTTTTTTTTTTTTTTTTTTTTTAGTTTCATAACATTTATTTTGTAGGCAAACAATCAGTTTACTCATCCTCCTTGGACCGGAGGCGAGCGTTGGGGTTCGTCACCTTGATAGCCAACTGCTGGGCACGCTCGACAATGTCTTTCCTCTTCCTGCTGGAGACATTGTGTGCAATCTCGGCTGAGAATGTGCGGTTCTGCATCAGTAAAACTTCCAGTTCCTTAACATTGTGGACCAGGAATTTCTTGAAGCCATCAGGGCAGACATGCTTGCACCTCTTCCAGGTACCGTAACCGATGTTTGGCATCTTGTACTGACCCTTGAACCTCCTTCTGACTCTGTTATCAATACCCTTGGGCTTGCGCCAGTTTGCCTTGACTTTGCCATATCTGTCAGACTGGTGACGAATGAACTTCTTGGTCCTCTTCTTTACGATGTTTGTCTTGACAAGTGGTCTGATAGCGGCCATGGTGGATCTTCTACGTATAATGTATGATGTGATGGTCGGGTTGCTCCTGTGCCAGGTAAGTATGCGTTTTCCGCATCAGGCATTTGGCCCCTCTTGCCAAGTGTTGCAAGATTTTTAAAGGAGTGTGGCATGGATTACGTGCAGTTAGTTATTTTTTATTTCATAATACCTTTTAAAAGTCACATAGGTTTTGTTATAAACGGTAAGGTTAATAAAAATTGTATACATTAAAACTCGTGCATTAAATTTCTACTGTCAAAGCCAAGAAGCCAATGTTTCTAGTTTTATGCTAAGAGTTATCTCTCTCTAGCTAAACAATACTAAAGTGTCTCCCTTTAATGTTCTTTTTTTTTATTCGTAATTCAAGTACAGTGAAACCTCGCTTGACGAGCATAATTCGTTCCCGAATCATACTCGTTAAGCGAAACACTCGTTATGCGAAACAAATGTTCTCATTTAAATTAATTTAAAATACGATAATGCGTTCCATGTCGAAAAAGATACTCACAAAATGCCATGTATAACGTTTATTCAAAGAAAATTATATACATATTGTTAAGAAGAGTGGATCACCTTCATATTTTCTTCAAACGCGTAATGAACCCACATGGATTGCGAATTCGATTTGCAGAAAAAATGTCGAAATAATTATGATACATAGGTAATTATTATTATTTTTTTTTTTTTTACTAGAAAGATGTCCAGAGATTTGTTTTTGCCGACGCTTCAAAATTTGGCGAAAATGCGACACAGCATTTTCATTAAATAAATTTACAACGCGCATAGCCACTGCCTTATTAGGGCGATGCTTCTCAATGTAAGATGCAACGGTTTGCCATGCTTTCAGCATTTCTTTATTTCGCCAGAAAATTGTTGCTTCTCTGTTACCTCCTCATCTGACAACCTTTCCTCCAAAACGCAGCTCTTGGCTGTGCTCTTCCACAAGCTCTTTGATACCACTGTTATCCACCTACAATCCCATGATAGTGGCCAAAGACCCAATCTCGTTGACTACAGGTTTCACTGTCTCGAACCCCTCAAAGTCACAAAATAGACAACACTCTCCGGCCAAAGCTTAATCCAGGCAGAAGTTAAGATTCTCTTGGTAACCCCTTCTCCCGCCTTGTCGATTATCTTGAGGCAGGCAACGATGTTGACGTAATTTTTCTCTAAAACTCTTTGAGAGTGAGGTTGGTCCCTTCAGTCACATGAAAACAATTCTCGAAGAGTGCTTTAGTGTAGAGTTTCTTAAAGTTAGAAATAACTTGCTTGTCCATGGGTTGGAGTAACGGAGTGGTGTTGGAAGGCAGAAATTGGATCTTGATGAACTTAATTTCTTCAGAGAGGTCATCTTGTAGGCCTGGAAGATTAATGTACATGTATCAAAATATAACACAAGTTTGAGAAAATGTGTGATCACAAGCGACACTACGATGCTACTGTAACAAGTGCTAAACACAAACTGATGTAACATGCGCACAATTCGGGACTTCCCTCTCCTCGCCACTCGTTATGCGAAACGTCGCTCGTTAAGCAAGACATTTTTTTTACAATTTGTTTTGCTCGTTATGCGAATTACTCGTTATGCGAGGTGCTCGTTAAGCGAGGTTCTACTGTATGTTAGCGTTTGCTAAAATAAAAGCAGCGTTTCAAACGATGAACGTATTGTTATATAATATTAGCTGTAGCCGGCCACGCGTTGCTGTGGCTTAATCTGGATAAAAAGAAAATTAAGAAAAAAAGAAAGCGTACGTGTCTAACACGGTTAGCCATTGTCTGCGCAGATACAGAGATAGTCTTGTTTGCCGACTAAGAAGCAGGTAACATATAATTGTGTCTTTATATTAGTCTTTTTCATCTTTTTCAGCATTCCGAGCCTTTCAGGTTCATTGCTGCAGATATCACCCGACTCCACTCCTCTCTCTAGTTGGCCCTCTCTTTCCACTTGGTGACACCAAGTTTTTGCATATCTGTCTGGATATTATCTCTCTATCGTCTTCTTGGTCTGCCTCGTGGTCTACAACCATTCATCTCCCTGGTGTATAGTTTTTACTTCTCTGTCATCTGACATTCTTTCAATATGCCCCAACCATTTAAGTCACTTAGTTCTCATGATGCCAGTGCTCAGTGGTGATTAAAAAAGATTATGAGATTGTTGCTGTTCACCCTCAATTCACCGCTGTTTGTCTTTATATTACTGCTTTAAATTGTATTATTAAGATAAACAAAAAAAAAAAAAAAAAAAAAAAAAAAAAAAAAAAAACAAAAAAAAAAAAAAAAAAAAACAAATGTATATATAAATAAATAAACACGTTATTTGTTTATCACATCCTAAAACTTTTTTTTTTGAAACGACTGAAAGTAAAGCTTACTCCTGTACTTCTAAATAGCCAACAGATTCGCGCGCGCAGACACACACACACACACACACACAATGGAATAGTTGAGGAAGCGTTATTATGACAGTACGACGTTTTAACCACTCGACCGACCACAACAACTCCACCTCCTCCTTCCCCTTCTCCTGCTCCTCCTGCTCCTCCTCCTCCTCCTACTACTACTACTACTACTACTACTACTACTACTACTACTACTACTACTACTACTACTACTACTACTACTACTACTACTACTACTACTACTACTACTATTACTACTACTTCTACTGCTACTACATTGTTACTACTACTACTACTACTACTACTACTACTACTACTACTACTACTACTACTACTACTACTACTACTACTACTACTACTACTACTACTACTACTACTGTTACAACTGCTGATCCAGCTGCTGCTGCTACTGACACTAATATGAGCAGATTAATCTTGCGGGCAAGGCGGTACTGTGATCTCACTGACATGTGCAGTAGTCATGTCATTAATGTCCAATGAGATGCATATCGCGAAGAAGATCGTGTCGAGGGTGGTGGATATAGGAGTGCAGCCTGGAGGGCAAGAGTCGTCTGATTAACCACCACAGAACGGGCGTCATTAGTGGTTTTCAGTTTGTGGAACTGTCGAGACAAAGATCTGAGAAACTGTGGATCTGTCCGGAATGCTGTTACGATAGTCCTCACTACTCATTTATCTTTCATTCCCAAAACTCATCATTCCCATACAAACATTCAACAACAGTCTTGTTAATCCCACATCTGTTAATTCCAAATTGTTTTTATGCCCCCATCTTTACATTTCCATACTTCCTTTAAACAACTCATTTTATTTATATACATAATGAAGTAGTAGTCGCCGTGGCTAGACGCCCGCGTGCGGATCAGGAGGTCGTGGGTTCGCTCCCTGGTGAAGCCCGGACTTTTATCTTTTCTTAAAACATGACTTCAGGTCAACCCAGTCTTGTGTGGGTACCGGATGCAGTCCCGGGAAGTAAAGGCGCCCGATGTGATGCTGACAACATCACCCATCTTGTGCCGATTGGTCTATAAACATATAGATCCAGCCCTATATGCCTAAAGGTGTGGAAAGGGGTCCTTTACTTTTTAATTTAGATAATGAAGTCCCGAATTGAAAAGAATCACGTGCCAAACGTCAGATTTATGTGTGGCCGCCGTTATGATAAGTATTCAATACAACCGTCAGAAGGGTCTGTTCAGTGTTGAATCAGAAACTCGATAATCAATAAAACAGATCCTGAATCCTGTCTCTAAAGTCATGGTGAACGATAGTTCAAACGTTTATAACTGGTTAGGTCACGATGTAGGAGCGGCTGGCCGAGTGATAGATTGTTGGGCTCTCACGCAGGAAGCCCTGGTTCGATGTTTGTAAGGGACTTGGGTTGTGTCCTGCGAGACGTGTGTGTTTGGGCGGGGCGGGGCGGGGGGGGGGGGGTATTCATACTGCAGATTGTTTAAATTGCGATTAGAGAACCTTAATCAGCACACAAATAAATCTAACAATTCCACAGATAGTTGAACAAGAACACACAAAATCACATTGCTGTCCGGCGACTTGACAAAAATCATGAAGCTTACGACATGTACCGCCCTTAAAGTGGTCAAGGCTGACAACAACAACACCTTACAGTGATACAGACTCAACTGACCAGCGCAAAACCCAGGGCACTGTGACATCAACTGCAGCTCTCCAGAAGACTTCCCAGCAAAGTCTGGATCAGCGAAATAATGCTGAACTACATAGTTCTGCTGGTACGACTGGATCTTTTCTTTCAGCATTCCCAGTTCTTGGAGATTCTTGCTACGTGTATCACATGTGTCCTCTCTAACAGGCTTCCTCTTGGCGACTGCAACTGTTTGCATGTCTCGCATATTATATGATTTGTCCGTCTTCTTTGTCCATCTCGAGGTCTAGTCTCATTCAGCTGTTTTGTTCTGTGCACGCACTTGTCTGCCACTCTCTATACGTGCCACAACAATTGCATTTACTAAATAAATAGGTGTACCAGTCGGGTTTTACGGTTATATTAGTTCATTTTGGTTCAGTTTACTTCAGAATAAAATTATTTTACTTGGGGCATTTCCGCGTGTTCGCAGGTCTCTTAAAAACTCCATCTTGCGTAAACACAGATTGCTTTAAAAAAATATTGCTAAACGATTGTCAGCTTAGTGGCTGGCCCGATCTTCAGTCTGAACGGTTGGTTGCATTAATTTCCATTCATTCGACTGAAATATGTTTCGACATACGATACCAAAACATATAATTTGAGAACAGAGGTGGAGGCGGTCATTGCAGACTTCTGCTGGCTTGAGACCCAGATGTACATACGTGTCGTAACTGGCTCACAGAGCATATTGAGAAAAGTGTAGACAGGTATGCTCCAAGCAGAGTGGTAAGCATCGCTTCAGAACTACCGGGTAGTTACATGCTTTGGATATTTTCTCCAGCAGATGTTGGTGTGTTGTGAAACGAACTGACAGCTAGACTGGCTGGTTCTGCACCTCTTGGTGGTGAACTGATGCGTGACAAGCTAATGGCCTGAAGCTAATAGCCTGAAGCTAATAGCCTGAAGCTAATAGC